TATACAGTGTTAGATTGTTGAGAAAAACATTTTTGCTTCAGTAATGCATAACAAAATATTGACTATTAAAGAGTTATCGAAAAAAGACTTTTGGCCCCTTTTGGCCCCTAATTTGAGTGCCCAGCCCCTTTTTCTTGATTTCATCTTGAAGCTCTTAGGATTTTGAACACTTTTTGTTCAACAACTATTCAGAGATTCTTTTTCGTTTTCGAGTTATTCGCATAAGAAATATTTAGGGGCAGACCCTTTCACTCCCTAATGGGGACGTTTAGCGAAAAATTAAAGAATGAATATTGTTTAGAACATGATTTTGAACATCTTTTGTTCAACATTACTTGTCAAAATATTCCTCATTTTCGAGATAAAAAGCGTCGAAGTTTGAGCATTTTCACCCCTTTTGGCCCCTAATTATGTAATATACGACATCAAAATCATAATGTAAAGTTGTAGATTGTTGAGAAAAACATTTTTGCTTCAGTAATGCATAACAAAATATTGACTATTAAAGAGTTATCGAAAAAAGACTTTTAGGCCCTTTTGGCCCCTAATTTGAGTGCCCAGCCCCTTTTTCTTGATTTCTTCTTGAAGCTCTTAGGATTTTGAACACTTTTTGTTCAACAACTATTCAGAGATTCTTTTTCGTTTTCGAGTTATTCGCATAAGAAATATTTAGGGGCAGACCCTTTCACTCCCTAATGGGGACGTTTAGCGAAAAATTAAAGAATGAATATTGTTTAGAACATGATTTTGAACATCTTTTGTTCAACATTACTTGTCAAAATATTCCTCATTTTCGAGATAAAAAGCATCGAAGTTTGAGCATTTTGGCCCCTTTCGGCCCCTAATTATGTAATATACGACATTAAAATCATAATATACAGTGTTAGATTGTTCAGATAAACATTTTTGCTTCAGTAATGCATAACAAAAAACTGATTGCTAGACAGTTATTGAATGAATACTTTTGGCCCCTTTTTGTCCTTAATGTGATGAGTCAGCACTTTTTTCTTGGTGTCATATTTAAGATATTAGCATTCCACTCAAATGTTGTTCAGTATGTCTTAACAAAATAATTATACTTTAAAAGATATTACACAAAATGTCTCGAAAATTTACTCATGATTCGTGTCCTAGATTTTGACCCCTACAGAGCTTCCATTTTGGACCTTTCTGAAAAATTTTAAATCCAATGTGCAATTCAGCAATGTGTCGGCTATCATCGCTTAAAATTTCAGCTCTCTAGCTAATGTCGTTTTTGAGTTTACTCATGGACAAGGAGACCCTCTAAAAATCAGTAAAAGGGCGATAACTTCCGACCGGAAGTGATTTTTTCAAAATTGAGCAGGGGGTACAAACTTCAGATAGAAACACATAATCTTTGAAAATTTGAACAAAATCGATTCAGCCATCTCCGAGAAATCTTCTGCACAAAAATTGTAAAGAAGTGAAGAATAATAAAAGTGAAGAAGAAACAATAGAATAATAGAAGGGTCTTCTGTTGGAGACGGAAGACCCTAATAATAATAATAAAATAGGTTTAGCTGGAGTGGTATAGTGAAATTCTTTTGACAAAGTTCAATTGGACGCATTGCATATAAATTATTAATCTTGGCGGACAATACTTTACTGTAAAATCATCATTGTTCGCTGGGGGCCAATGTTCAAGGATTTCGTGGGTCACCCTTACCCACAAATAACATTACCCACGAACGTTTGTTTTGTGGCGTATTGATTCATTGAACCATCGTACTATCGAGTAACCCTCGAAATTACGTCTCAACAGGACAAATTTCGCTACCCAGAGAACGTTGACCCCAACGAAGAAAAAATATTCCACCGTAAACGTTTGTATATTTGTGTTTGAAGGTTCTCACTAAGTAAATGGAAACAGCTATAGATAAATTTCCAGAACCTCTTATCGTTTACAATGTTATATGGCAAATAAATGTACATATGGAAGTTATCTTTGTCATTTTCAATATGTATGTACAGTGTAAGGATTAACTCATTTCTTTGATCGATATAATTTACATTTTCACATAAAATAATCCTATATGGCAAACATACACTCATAGGACACATGTACTTAGCCTGGTTATGGACCGACATGGGGAATGTGACCTTAGCACCATTGTAATATGTATTACTTCTTTTTTAAAATTGCATAAAAGCAACTGAATACCTGTAGAACATGTAATATAGCTTTCTATAGTGTATGGGCTGGGTCAAACACGGCTCCAGTTTAACTGCATCTATAAGCTGTATATCACATGGCAATTATAAAAATAGAATTGTTAAGCCGAATGTATGAAGTGAGGATAGTGCAAGGGCATACGCTTGTTTTTCTAGACACAAAAATTATACACATTTAAAGATGTTTATTTCCTCTACCCAAAAAGTGCTGGGATCTAGTCTGTGCTGTTTAGGAAGTACTGAATATTTTGCTGAAAATGCGCTTATTAGTTCAAAATTATTCATTCGCTTACATTCTGTTATAAATGAAAATAATGTTATGGAGACCAGGATCAGCTCCCAACTCTTTTTCAAAATATGCACTGTATAAATACTAATATTCTATATTTCATCTCAAACAAAATAGTTTATGCCCTTGCACTTTTTGTGAACATCCCGAAGACATGTCGTTCTAGCGATATTCTATACATTCCTTTTCCTGCGCAGAAAATTTGAGATGATATCACATTTATTTAAGAATTTTTGAAATTATTACACCAATGAATCTAGTCCTCTGGATCACCTGTACTGTGACAAAGATATTTAACAAAACCTATTGATGATAAATATAAGAGAATACTCACCAAGTTTAGATTATCAAACCACCAATTAAAAAATGAAACTGGTAGATGTAATGGATATATGCCGAATACTGTTCTATATGTAAAATTATCAGACTGTTTGAGGCCCGTTAGGGCCGAAAACTGTCTGATAATTTTACATATAGAATAGTATGAGGCATATATCTTACTTAAAACATTGCCATTTAAATGTCCAAAAATTACCTGTAGGAGTCCTGTCCTCTACAAAAATTTGAATTTTTCAATTAAAATTTGTATATGACAATTGTCATATACAAATTTTAATTGAAAAATTCAAATTTTTGTAGAGGACAGTCCGATAATAACACAATGGGAGTTTAGGCATCAATTGTATTTTACCCGTCTAATAAGTGGACAAAAGAAAAGAGACAGATAAAGAGTGGGTGAACTGTTGTTTCATTTCATTCATTCAATGGCAGTCGTTTAGATAAGCGGGACAGGGGTCCGGTGGGGAAGGATTTCCTTTTAATTTTGGAACATTTTTATTTATTTTGTGCATAAATTTTTTTTGGGTGAAATTACCACCGTCACCATGGAAAGTAACATACGAATTTTCATCCTGGAGTTTTAGTTTATAGAATGGAAATTCTCAGCTTTTACAAGTGCAGCCATTTGGAAACAATCCTTATAAAAGAAATAAATTTGCCGATTTTTTCTCAAAAATGGATTTAAATTCGATTATACAAAGTGCTGTATCAAAAACACTTAAAAGATGGGAATTATTAATTTTGAAGATGGTTTAAACTCGATTTTTTTCATGGATTTTCTGGTTTTTAGCAACTTAATTTCCTTGCGATTGCTTTCCCTAATTTTTTTCCCTTTTTTTTTTTGGAGGGGGGGGGTGGTCGGGGGTAGGTGGAAATATTTAACTTTTTCCACTCTTCTTTTTTGTTTTTAAATACCGTCCGATTTTGTTATCATTGCCGTCTGATAATATATTATCAGACTGGTAATTATTATTATCGGACGGCTACAGGTAAATTTTTAGACTGCAAGAACAAAGGCATGACGTCACAGCAATGTTTTAAATAATAATAATACACTAGATCTCAAAGAATTTGCACACTATGCTCCTCTTATGGTATAGAAGATGAATTTCATTTCATATAAAAATGTCCATTTTATGAAAATCTTAGAAGTATGTACATTAAGAAGTATTATTACGTCAAACCAAGTGTATTTAAATTTGTAAGTTTAAGGAGTAGTCAAAATGTAAAAGAGTTGTCATTTGGGAATTTTTTTCTATAAAGCTACTGCTTTACGAAAGTGTAATCTGTAACTACTATTGATATTTATATCCGTTGTGTATGTTTGTATATAATATTCATTCCGTGCTCTGTATCATGTTTTTATGCTGTACTGATAAGCCTCTGGCTTAAAGAATAAAAAAGTTTAAGTTTGTGTCATGTCAAGACTGGTGACGTCTTATTTAACCAGAGACTTTCTTCTATAACTCGACTGTATTGATATCAATTATCGTAATCAACTAAATTTTATACACAACTGATAAAATGAATAAATCCAAGTTGTATGTACGCATCATCCTGTCATTATTCTGATTGTTGTTGCTTGTTAATGATGTCCCAAAGTAAACCAATACAATGTGCCACGAATGTAAACTCAGACCTTCCTTAGCTGAGTACATACTGAATAGGACAGAAGGAACAGACCGCGACACACATACATGTATATCTATGCATTGGAATGGGGTTTACAAGGGACAATATAGAGAGAAACTCGTATTATAATTACTCAGTAATAGCATTGAAACGGCTACTTAGGAATGAGGTATAAAAATATAACTTTATATGTTATTGAGCAAGTGATACATGTATCCTGAACTGGGGATCATCTTTCATTGGACTTTGATGATTGTTGTAGTATTTTTGACTTTAAAACCTATCATTCTATCATTTTCTGATGTAAAGGCTTTATTGATCAAACTTCGAAGAGATTCGATATATATAACTGCAGTTTCGAACATTTCATTCTAGACAAGAGAAATTATTTATAATAAATGATACTGTACATTTTTAGGCAGTATTTCTTACAACTGTCCTTTACATAAATATGTATTCTTTAGTATTCAAAAAATATTGTCTAAGCTAACATTCAGATATTTGAAAGGACACCGTACCTTGGATGAAAAAGTACTGTTTTTTTTAGCCTGTCGTGGTGGTTTTTACGGCAAGAACTGCAATCGTAGCTGTGGACATTGCTTGAACAAAGAAAGCTGTGATCACGTGACAGGTTATTGTCCAGATAAACTCTGTGAACCAGGATATAAAAAAAGAAAATGTGATAAAGGTAAATATTGTGATACATGTAAAGTGTATAATAGCTGTGACAATCAAAATAAATAATTAGAAAGAATAAATTTTCAAGTATTTTTTTTTCAGAGTGTGATAACGGATATTTTGGCAATAACTGTAGAGAAGCATGTAGTGGACATTGTGCAGGGAATGTGCCATGCAATAAAACTGACGGTACTTGTCCAGGAGAATGTGCAGATGGGTGGATAAAGCCCCGCTGCAATGAAAGTAAATTTATTATTTGCATTTTTTACAAAACAATCTAAATGAATAAGGTTTCAATATTTTACAACTTTGTTTTTAAAAAGGCATATTGAACACTCTTCTCGGAAATAAATCAAATTTTCCTACATGTGTCATCAACATAAATGTTTACTCTTAAAATTTGAAAAATAAAATCCAATCCAGCATTTTGATATTTGAAATGACACCATACCTTGGATGAAAGTTTTCTATTATATCTTTCAGCATGTCCAAATGGTTTTTACGGCAAGAATTGTACTTTTCTCTGTGGACATTGCTTGAACAAAAGAAGCTGTGATCACGTGACAGGTTACTGTCCTTCTGGACATTGTGAAGCAGGGTATAAATTTAATGAAAAGAAATGTGATGAAGGTATATATGCCAATGAAGTTATTATTACTCTTACAACATAACAGTTGAAAAAAACCTATGCTTTTAATCTTAAAATCACCAATATGTTCTATTTCAGAATGTGATGCCGGTACTTTTGGATACTACTGTAGGGGAAATTGCAGTGGACATTGTGCAGGGAATATGACATGCAATAAAACTGATGGTATTTGTCCTAGAGGGTGTGCAGATGGATGGAGAGATTCCTCTTGCAGAGAAAGTAAAAATGAAATTTGATATTTATAAATAGTAAACATAAGGTATTAATAATAAAAAAAAATTATTTTTTCACAATTACTATTAGGAGTCAAAATCAGCAAGCATCGAGCATTTAGTTAAAGAATATAGAAAGTGGCATAGAAACAGATTTGGTTAAAACTCATAAATAAATTTTCAGAACAAAGGGTATGATAGAAAAAAGCAAGCAAAAAATAATTTTTCGCATTGTTGCTATGGAAACCACGCGCCTTTTAGATAGCGTGTTTTGTACTTTATCATGACACTTGAATTTATGGTTAAACAAATACTTTTTTATTACTAGTCATTAAAAAAGCTTCTTAAATTATAATTTTATTTATATAAATACACTCTATTTTAACAACTGTTGATTATTGAAATTCTCTTCACCTTTTGATAAATATAACTAGTTTTTGGAGGTTAATTTTGCTTTAAAAAAAAGCAAATTTGAAGTATTCTATAAGAAATCTACAACCACATTAAAGCATATCAACATGAAATATTTATTAAGCAGTATTTGTTCTAGAAAAATCAAGAAAAAAATCTGCAGGCAACTAACGCATTTATATATGATAACTGATTTAAATCCATAATTTTGTGTCACTTTTGCTTCAAATTACCCCTTTGGTATAGCTCTCTAACATAGGAGGAATAATCGGTAGTTTGCTTACATTGTTTGCAATAACAAAGTACAGAAGACTAGCAGAAAATAACAAATTTGGAGCAGTCTGAGCCTCAGTTTTGGCGTTTTCATGGGTCTTAATTATGGTGAGTGATTGCAATTTTTACAATATACGATTACAACCGTTACTGAAGAATATATAGCATAAATTAATTAACAATGCAGTAAAATATGAAACACTTGGCAAGTGTTTTTGCACATTTTAATTGAATTCTAATTGATTATATATGTTAGCATTATTTTAGTATTTTATAACTAAAAAAAAAGATTATGCATGGCCTGAGGAACCAAAGGTAGGGGGGTATGCCCCCCTCCCGCCTATAAAATTGCCGATATTAAACTATATAATTTGAGCAAATGAAATTAAATCCCCCAACTTGTTTCTGCAGGCCTAACGTGAAAACGTTGGTCATGATCGGTCAAATAACTGTATCCCAAATTATCAAGTTTAATTTGAATTTAGGTTGATTTTAATTTGTTGTATTCACGGTATGTGTATGTAGCCAAAGTCACTCACCAGCTATAATGATTATAATTGATAGTCGGGTAAATAAAAATTTAAGATAATACCTGCTTTTTATATGAAAAATTATGAATTTATGAAAACCAACACCATTATGAAATATTTGTAAAATGGATTGACCTTTGTTATGGCGTCCGTAAAAAAATTTAAAAAAAAGGGCAGATGGTTAACTCTGTACTTATTTTATAATATATTTTAGTTTAGGAAAGGGGATTACCTTGGAAATATTGTGATATAGACAACTGTATTATGTAGTGGACTAGTGGTAACTGAATTTTATATATATACCACAGTAATATAATAAAAAACTTTAAAACACTTTTTGAAATATTTCAACCGTGCTACCGGCCTTCATCAGTCGTGTTTATTTACTCGGGCAGCAACAAAATGGACATAGATCTACTCTAATTCAACATTATTTTTGTCACTATTTATTGATATTTTTCTATATTTATGATAAAAAGCATAGAAAACCTAAACAAAGTGTAAAGCCAAGGCGTTGGATTTCATACAAAGGTGTGTAAGTTAATTGCAAACTAAACAGCGTTATGTACCAAAAATCAAAAACAAGCTTGAAGAAATGGGGAGGCGGGTCACAGAAATATAATATAATTGAAGTTGGATAACAAAGCCCTCAGTACAATTTGGTCGGAAAAATATACTTGACTTTGACAAATGAAAAAGTTCGTTTTGTTTTCTTTCTTATTCCTTGTCAAGACCCCCCTCCCCCCTAAAAAAGAAATAAAAAATAAATCGCTTCCTATGTGTCTGAAAAAATCTACATGTACAAATACCGTAAACGAAGGTAAGTAACCTGCATTATACTTATACATGTATTTCTTGTTACCTGGCAACAGGAAGCGTTCAGTATTCACCACTTCCTTCGAAGATTTTACGGTATCTGTGTATATCTTATTTGCATGTTTTGGCTATTTAGAGGAGAAAGTAGGAACTGCTAATTATTCATTCTATAAAATATTTGCTAAAATGATTGAAAAAAATGTTATTTTAGGAAACGATAAGAAATTATCATAAAAATGAAATCATTTAATCTCTAAAATTATGTTGTATCCTACTACTACATGGTTTGGGGTGGGTATAAGCAACAGTACTTATACTTTGATTAGGTTATAGAAATTAAATCAATTAAATTGATTCAAATAAAACTTGAAACTGATGAAATATTTAGCATGTGGCTAATACACGTAACTCTTGATAATTAAGCTATTAATTTTTTTTAAATGTGTCATTTAATCAACCAATCAAACCACGATTACACAACTGTACAATGACCTAGCATCGTTTTTAAAAGGGGGCAGCCAGAGAAAAAAAATAACTTACCTGAAAAAAAGTTTACAAGCAAAATGTCCAAACTCGAAAATCCTATTTCGTGGGGGGAGGGGGATAAGCCAGCAGGAAGTGGGATTAACACCATATTCAAGGCTGTTTTTACAACCCGTTGCACCCCTCTCAACAGAATTACGACAGGTGCATTAAGAACGGGACTATTCTTATGAGCTTTCGATCCGCTCCACGTGCATGTACATGTATGACAAGTTGACCTGCAGTTAGCTGCAGAACTGTAGCTCTCCGAAATATTTTGACAGACCGGGCTGTAAATATATTTTTTTCGGGAGAGCTACAGTTCTTCAGCTAACCTGCAGTATTTTCGGAATACATATTTGGCCATGTATGATATACATGTACTTAGTACTTGTACATACTATTAGTATAATACTCTCTCTCTCCTTCTTTCTCTTTCTCTCTCTCTCTCTCTCTCTCTCTCTCTCTCTCTCTCTCTCTCTCTCTCTCTCTCTCTCTCTCTCAAAAGGAATTGTTTCAATGATTTTTGCACGAATTGTCTCATGTCACTCTCGATCCGCATTTATGTCCAGAATTTATGTGCGAGGATCGTATATTTTGGTCATTGTTTCCGAAGGTGTATTTCAGGGAAACTTTTAGATTCTATAGGCGAAATCAGGTGTTATTTAAAAGTGTCTATGGGACAATGCTTCATGTATCATTTCTTTTCAATATAAAAAGTAAACCAGGTGCACGAAACGCGTGCTTAAAAGAGAAAGCAGCCATTACCCCCTCCCTCTAAATTTTACGTTTTAAAAACTTTATCCTGTGCGGAATTTTCATCTTAATAAGTCTTAATAAATATTTTTCTTTTATTAAAAGAAAAACCCTAGCCACACTATAAAATTACAAATTCACACCTGGTAATGCTGAAACAAATACGCATGTAGGTAATGTTTTAATTGTCTTAATTTTAGAAAAATTGTCGTCTACAATTAAGCAGGAAAAAACACACAGTCAATTATTTTCAAATAATTAATTCTTTACCTAAAAGAGACATTTATTCATCATGGAGACTTGCTATCAGTAAAAAGTTTTACTTCCTATGCAAGCCCTGTACATTGATAAAAGGTGGTGGATGTTGGAATCCCTTTAATAAGTAAAATATATATAGAGACGGAGAGAATTTTATCGATTTGTGAACTTGCTTTCCACCACGAGGCGCGACAAATGCACATTTTCAGAACATACGAAAGGAGGGGGGTGTCCTTCCAATTACTGAAAGTTCAGTACCAAATTTAAACTTTTAGTGGGCATGAATTATATTGCAGCAGTGTGTATTATATGCATCTTTAATGCAGTGTCAGAGATTACATTTACTTTGATAAAGCTCTTCAGGCCATTTGAGTGGGATTAATAGAAAGATACAATTGAATCTGTTCCTCAAACTGCTCCAAAAAAGAATAAATTCATTTGGAAAAAACCCACAAGGACAGAAAGTATTTTCGACGAACGCCTTGTTTTAATTTATGTGTGAAATAATATACTTTCTCTATCGTCGCGGGTTCGAATCCCACCGCGGGACGTGGAGACCGGTCCTTTGGATGAGACCGTATAAACCAAGTTCCCGTGTCGCAGTAAGCGCTGGCACGAAAAAGATCCCTACCTGCTCAATGGCCCTGAGGACAGAGTATAATACAAAATTTTTCTCCACCGGAAAGCAGTGGTGTCTTCTAATGAGTGAAACATTCTCGAGAGGGACATTAAACAGTATATATATACAACCAACCTTCTTCTCTGGAAAATTATAGGACCGTTTGTTATCAGAATGCCCTTTATTAGCAGACATAATTTCCGTATTCCGATTTTATTTAAATTCGTATACACGAGACATAGGAAAGTTTTTCTGTGGCCTTATAAATTTAGATATCCACAACGTTCATGTATTATCAATTCGCAACAGATACTTTCATTCATATGTCGACTCGACATACCATGATCATGAAATTGTTCAAATTGTTCAATCATAAAATGACGAGAAAAAAAACTTCTGAAACAAAAGAGCATTCAAACTATCTATCTGATCTTATCTGTACATGTATTTCTTTCTTTCTTTTTTTTTTTTTTTGGGGGGGGGGGTGGCATAAAAGTCTTTAGTATTAGTTGAATCTGAGTTTTCCGTCGAGATTTTACGAGCATAGACCATATAAACAATAAACCTCCTCCCCTAAAAAGAAAAACAGAAACTGACAAAAAATGATTGTAAAAAAAGAAACAAAACATCTGGTGTCTCTTTTTTAAAGGGGGGATAAAAACCTGATATTTCTTCTAAAATGCTAAAATTATCGATCATAAAAGGTGACAATAACAATATAATTAAATAAAAATCACTTATGTAATTTCATTTGTTGTCCGAGGTGATTTTTCTTGTGCAGTTTTTACAATGAAACCATGGAAATGAGAGAACAAAAAAATTGACGTTGTCCGATAAAAACGGCGTCATAATGAAGAATTTGTATTTTTTTATTTGAAAAATTTCACTAATTTTTAGTCTTTGAACAACGACATGTTATATATCATTTGAAAGAGGAGAAAATTGTCTATCAGGATCACTTAACAAGTCAAAATGTCAAAATTTTCGCTTAAGGGTGGTTTTTGCTTGACGGTCATCAAATGCATAGCAACTCAACAGTATTATGACGTCACAATGAACATAGAAATTGAGAGGCAACGTCATACAATAAAATTGCGCCAAAAACATCTGAAAATATTGTGAGAGCAAAAATTGTACTTGTGTTATCAAAATTTTTATCATATAAAATAAAATACTAGAATACCGGGTATATTAAAAAGATGATTTTAAGGTACATATAAATGTATATCCGTAAAAACAAGTATCACAACGTCACACAAATGTTAATAAATCCAATTCAAAGACAGAAGTGTTCCCTTTTGTTGATACCAAATGGTATATAAGTGTTTAACTTTTTCTTCCAAAGATTTTTTCTATATTTGCGGTAAATGTCATTCTTATACAGTTTTTCAATGCCTATTATATTATAATCTTCTACTGTATGTACACCTGAATTAAAATGAGTAGCCACAGGATCATTCGTTTCCCTTCTAATTAAAGACAAATTCAAAACATGTCTTTGATATAAACTATCACAAGTTTCTCCCACATACACTATTTTGTCACACTTTTTACAAAAAATTCCATAAACAACATTCCTTGATTTACAATTAATATAATCTTTCACTTGAAAAAGTGTATCCGTTATTATCTTCAAACTGGCTGGTTTTCACAACAAATTTACACAAAACACATTTTTTAGCACCACATGGCTCATATAAATTTCCTTTTTTTAAAAATAAATTGGGCCATCCTTAAAAAATTGTTTGTTTGGAATTGCCGCCTGAAGGGTTTCAGACACAGGAGGGAGGGAGGGAAATTATTTTTTTTTTTAATTGAAAACCTAATTTTACATGGATCTGACACTATATTTCAGTGTTTTGTATGTGATACATGTAATAGGCAAAAAATTGATTAAATAAAAAAAAATCTTCCTACTTTTGGTCAATAAAATTTTTTCAGGAGGGGGGTATTTCAATGAGGCGGGAGGCAATTCCAAACAAACTATAATTTTATTTTGGCCTTGTTGTGTTTTTTTATACACTAAAATGTCTTTCAAATTTTTGTCTCTTTTATAAGCAACGATTTGGGTTTTTTTTTAACGCGAGTTTCAGGCGATCGGAATTTTCAAGAATTTTTTGTCTTTTCTTCAAAATGTTATGAATATTCGGTAATCCTTTTGAATAGGTCAACACAAGAGGAATACGATCACATCGCGTTTTATTTCTTCTATAATTTAGTAGATCCGAGCGATTGAGTTTGTCTACTTTCGTAAGTTGTTTTTCTACTTCGTTGCTAGAATATCCTCGTTTTCGCAAGTTCTTTTTCACTATATCACGTTGGTTTTGATAGTTTTCCTTTGTGGAGCAAATACGACGTGCTCTAAGACCAAGGCCGTATGGAATTGAACTTTTTGTAGATTCGGGATGGCTGGAGGTTTTGTTAAGGTACATATGTTTGTCAGTTGGTTTACTGTAAAGATCTGTTGTAAGAAATCCGTTATCCAGAGAAATAGAAACATCAAGGAAGTCTATTTTTGTTTTTGAAAAACGCAGGTCAAGCTGAATGTTGGGGTGAATATTATTTGCAGTCATATAGAAATCATGTAGTTCTTCTTCTGTCCCCGTCCAGATCCCAAAAATGTCATCAATGTATCTTAGATAAAAAAAGGTTGTTGTTTGCAATTCGTCAAAAGAATATTTTCCCATTCCCCCGTGTATACACATGCATAGTTTCGTCCCAGTTTGGATCCTATAGCGGTACCTTCGGTTTGGATATAATGTTTATTGTTGAAACTAAAATTATTGTTATCCAGGACAGCATCCATCATTTCTAGAATACTGTCAGTATCTACTTCTTTTTTCCGTCGTTCTTCTAGAATCCTTTTAATTACTTCCCTTGCTTCCTTCCACAGTAACATAATGGATTAAAAAAAATTGCTGATGTCATCCAGTGTTTACTAATAAAAGGAAATTCATATTCAGCTAACATTTTCTCCGGTACCACTGAGCTAATTTAAGTTAGCTAGGTTCAAATAATAAGCAACATCAGATTTAAAGCACATAAATTTATAAAATGAATATCTTTACTCCATTTTTTCGGGGGGGGGGGTTATTGGAAAAAAATAAAAAACATAATTTAGAGTCTTGACAAAACCTAAAACCAGTTGACCTTTTTATTACAAGTTTTTAAATTCAAAGAGTATCTAAAATCAATACAGTCTCAACTTTGTGTTGTATACTTCTGTTTTTAGAATGAAATTCCGCACTTTGAAGCCAACTCGGAAAGAAGCAGAAACAGATTTGGATGACCTGATATAAAATTAGACAAGAAAAACATGTAAATAATACATTTAGTAAAAACGTTAACTTTTTAAAATAAAATGATAAACCATTGAGATTTCTTGGAATTTATTTGATTCCAATAAACATGCTTTGCATTCATCATCTTTGCTCAAGCTCAATTAGAAATGGTTCCTAGTGTATGAAGGCAAAGCTGTAGAATATTATTACATTTTAATTTTATCACTTTTTCAGATTATGAGAATACATTATTACAGTACAGACCATTGATGCTGGAAGTGAGTGGATAGTGTTACCGATGACTCAGGGATTCAGAAAATAGATCCATAAATTGTACAGTGTATTCATGAAAGTGGATCAAATAAAAATGATCAATCTAAAAGTAACGTTTTTTTGTTTGTCTGTTAGCATATTTTTTATTGATGTAAATCTAAGAACTATCAATTTTTGGCATGCAGATTCATAATTAGATAGTAGAAGAATCTGAAACATATCTTTATATTCTGCATTTTGAATATCATAATTAAAACAATGTCAATATTAAATGATCAATCAATTAATTTCAAAACTGACAAAATGTTTTCGGAGAAAAAAAAAGAGGGCTATAATTTAAAGTCAGATGACACGTTCTTCAAATTTATGTTTTGTATCTCTAGTTATTATTTAAAGAAATATTCATATTTGTCATTCTCTGCTGATTTCTACATTGTTTTCAAAATGTTTTTAAATATAAGTACAACAAAAATGTCGATATATGCCATTCAAAAGATTACCTATAAGGGTTATTATGAAATATTTTTTAGGGTCAGTTCAAGTTTAGACATTTATATATATATATATAGATATATAGCCCTTCCAGATTTTTATTTAGGTACCAGTAGCTACTGGGGCCCTAGCTTTCTTGCCATTTTGTTCCTTAATTAAGACAGCAGGAGAATATATCATTGGTTCAAGACCAAAGTCATTCGTTCTTGACAGACATGGTATCGTTTTTGAAAGTGCATAGTGTGGGATAGGCATAAAAAAACTGCAAGAAAAAAGTGGGAAAATTCTCCAAACTCGGGGGGAGGGGGTTAAACATCAGGTTATTTTGAGAAAAAAAAGTTGGATGGGGGATGTCACCCCCCCCCCCCCTACCCAACCCACACCTGATGCTACACGCTTGATTGATAAGGTTTAACTTAAAAATTATGTGAGCTGTCATATATAGTGACTCTCTTTCATGAATTAGAGTTATTGTGAGCAAGCTAATAAAATGATACCCACCCTCCTGCTATTGCATTAAAGATATCCGATCCTCAGCCTAAAAATTTCCTAAAAATTCATATTAAATTTGAAATGCATAATTATGAAGCTTGAAAATGAAATTTTTTCATGCAACAATTTTCATTTTATTCATCTTTATATGATTCAAGGTTTTTGGAAGTCTTAGAAAAGGTCTTTAAAAAAGTAGGCAATTTTACCCTATAAAAGGAAAAAATAAATACAGTTTTAGAGAAATAAGATTTTCTTGAATTGAGCCTTAGATACCAATGTTAATTAGCATGATATGGAATTAGAAGTGATTTGTGATGTCTTCCAATGATAGCAAAAGCATTTTACACTGTGTATTATATAATACATGAAGGAAATAGAAGACATAGAATATCAAATAAGGGTAAAAAAAAAACATGACAATGTCTCTGAATGTCTGGATACCTATTGTTTTTTTTAGCCTAAAATATATTTGTTGATCAATATGCAAATAGAAAATGCATAACTGATATTCATAATCGCCTTTTCTGCATAAATATTGGAGATTTGACAATTTTCCCTATGTAACATGATTATCTTTAATGTTTAACTATAAAGAAAAACTGTGGGTAAATTCACATTACTTTGTGGATTCAGAGATATTTTTATGAGTATTTTCAATAACTTAACAACTAATTTTATGAACCTGAGGATCGGACTACCTTAAATGTTTTTTTTATCACAAAAAGGTCCTTATATTTATTTAAAACCTTTTCTAAAATTTTCTAGTGCAGATATATATACATACCCAAATGACTATGACATATACTCAAGTCATAGGTAGTAAAACCATTGTGTTGAGCACAAACTTCCAATTTCTCTTCATTCGAAGTTAAATATGTTAATGTGCTAAACTCATATAGTACACTTTTACTGCAGTGACCTTGAAAAAGTTATGTCCTTGATTCAAGGTCAAACATGTCCAAATGAACTTTTGTCAAGGTCATGACATTTTTAAACCACAGCTCAAAACTAATCCCCGAGATGAAACTTTTCATTAGAATGTTACAAAATGGGCAAAGATTGCACTACCAATGACATTGACCTTGTTCAAATGACCTAAGGTCAAGTTTTGGACACATCTCTAGATCATAAGCAATCTTAATTACAAGTATGAACATTCAGTGGCACTTCATTGAAATGTTATGGACAAGTCAAAATTTTACATACTTATGGATGGCTGAACAAGGTGATTCCTATACCCCCCCCCCCCCCACCTCCTTTCCAAGTTTCGTTTGTGAAGAATATAAAATTCCTTTTGAAATTGAATGTGCATTTTTTTTTTCAACAATAAAAAAATATGAGTACGCTTTGATCAGAACCAATATGTCCAATGTAATGGAAATTGTACATGTATTCAATTTACCCTCAGACCTTCAAAAAAGCTTATAAATACCAGATTGTGACACATTTTAACCATTTGTTACTCTTTTCTACTAAAGTTGCCTGCAAATTTTATTGTGTAGATATGACATTTAGATAACCCCTAACAAGATCACAGCATTCATTTTTCCAGCAGTGGTTGTAGATTTTGCATATAGAGTGATACACATATGTAATTTTTTTTCAAAATTAATAAGCATTGACGTCATGTTGTTTTCCGTTGTCATGGCAACAATATCACTACAGATATTTTGTTTTTCCTATTTCTGGAGAATAAAGTAATTCCATCTCTCAACAAATAAAGTAACCAAAATACCTAATCTTATCACGTACAGAAAACATATTAATAGAAAAATGGCTAAAAATCATTGATTTTCATAAGGATTTATGAACCCGTTGCCAAGGAAATGAATTTCCTTGGATACCAGTCCCTTTATACGCTCCAAAAAACTTTTAATTGTGTTTTAGCATTAGGAAAGACAAAATCTTTTATATACCAAAAGGTTTTGAAAAAAAATAAAATTTTGACTTTCCATTCAACAATGTTCAATGCTCGATGCTACCTGATTTAGACTCTTAAATGTGTCAATCTGTGCGGATTGGAAATGGAAGAATCAAAACGCTTTACCAATGAAACTATGATTTTCCATAAACTTAATTCTGAAACAGCAAAATAACTTTCATCTTAAAAAGTGTGTTATAATTAAGCTAGCATATTTAAGAAAGATAATATATGTTCAGTGACAAAATGTATTTTAATTTTTATTTAACAAAGACTAACTTGACTTTTTTATGCTTCGAAACACATGTTCGTTATTTTGAATGTCTTAAAAAGACCGAATTTATCTTTGTCATCTCATTCATTGTAATAAGTTAGCAATGTTTATTAAATATAACTTTTTTCAACTTCTTTCAAAACTTGAAAATATTATATACTTGTAAATAAAAAGAAAACATTTACACCCAATGCGTATAAACCAACCAGCAACTAGTCCAAACATTCAAGATTTTCATTCCTTGCAATTGATAACACGAAAGATCATTGTAATGTTTTTTCAAGAAAGTTAATTTAGATTCAATATTGTGAATTCACTACTATTCTTATTTAATGGATAATTTCCTTTTTTTTAGAAATACAATGCCTATATGCATTTTAGAATCTTTAGATAGAAACACAAACTTTATTCGCTCATGCAACTAAACAAGTAAACAAGTTTGAGTTAATCAGACAGCTTCGAATACTAGTGATGGAAAATAAGATATAATTACAAATATATGTATATGCATTAACAAATTTCCTTTTGCTTTACCGAACTCTAACATATTTACTGTGTACACTGTGGCATCCATTTTAATATAAAGAACTTACTCCATAACGAAACTGTAATTTATATACGAACATAATGCTTGTGAAATCTATTATTATAATCTGTAACCGTAATATGCAAAATGTATATAAGTTTATAAAATGATTTGATCAAAATATAATAGTTTGATCAATTTTTTATGTTCTGAATTTGCCTTATTTGATGCGTAGGTATATGGAAAGAGGAGGCTTGAAAGTATGTAATTTGTACAGAAAAATGCACTGATAAGTTATATTTATGTTTATTTGATGAAATACTTATGATATTTTTTGTGAACTTCGTAATTTCTTCCTATTGGTAAGCCCTTAATAATAATTTTTGGAGCACTGTAATAGGTTAAAGATACAGTACCGACCGGGCATAACCTAACACCAGAGCAAATCCAAAATTTCTAGGTTCTCTCGTCCCTTTCAGAAATTTTGGGACCGCTCTTGTTGCGCCTTGGATGCGCTTCGAATTGGCTCTACGTTCGCTCGGTGTCAACTCAGGGTCTGCTAGAGCAAACCCAGCATTTGATTTCCGGGTTCACTTTTCTCACCCATACGTAAACCGTACCCCGTTTTAATTTTGCAGCCAGTAAGCCCCAACCTTGTATATTGCAATTCAGTAGTGGAATCGTGGAATCAATCGTTGTTGTATTTTTGGCGATCGATACATGTACACAGTACATGTTTAGAGTGACGTTATGGAGAACGTTGATAAACTTTCTAAAATTCCAAAGTACATTCGAGTTATAATCATGGCGATTTTCTAGATTTTTTTTTTTTTTTTGCGTTCGCAATCTTGATGCGGAGAACTTCAAAGTTAAGTAATAGCCAGCTATTCAACATTTATATCTCTTAATTTATATCGCTAAAAAATAAAAGGTAGTTTTCTTTTCTTTTTTTTCCAGTAACAATAGTAATAAGAATTAATATCTTCTTTTTTTCTTTGTGCATTAAAGTATGAATTAAATGATAAATTTACCAATGCATTTTTATATAATAAAAGATTTTAAATATAAAAAGTAGGAAAAATAAATACGGAAATGTGCATGCAACATGCTGTCTTGAGAATAAAAATTCATAATGTATTAATTCTTTCTAAGAATATATTTATAAAATGCATTTGTAAATAAAACATATTGTCCCGAAATTTAAAATGAATATAAAATCGTATTTTGATAATCATCTTACATTTCTTTAAAAGATTTACACTGTACGTTAACATGCTTTGCTTGCATTTACAATGTTTGGATTTATATCGAATATCATTAACATATTTCATCTTTTATCTCCATTGACAGATCTGTTTGCCAAGCTGATTGGTCTAAGCACTGATTGGTTAATCACTAATCTTAATTGCAAGCTCTGTTACGCAATACCGAACGCGCGTTCGCTTTCTGGGACAGCTACTGAATATGGGTTTGTTTTTGGCGTTCTCTCTTTCGTTCCGCTACGGGTGCGCTTTGGGCGCACTTCAGGTGCGCTCCGAGTTCGCTTGGGGTCAGCCCTAGCGAGAGCCCAGAGAGAGCAAACGAGGATTATGCTCCGGGTGTACTTTCTGTTAGGCTGTATCCGGTCGGTACTGTAGCATCTTCTCTTTGTGTCTTTAGTTTACCATGTAGTACAAACTGTATTGTGCCTACTTTGAAATCACTAATAAGTGGGGAGGGGGGTTAATTTTCATGGTTTTCAAGGTATGAAGAGACCCAGAAATTTATGTCCACCACTAAATGCGAATTTACACAATTATTACTACTGAGAAATTCTTCAACCATGAAATCTAATCCCCATGAGAAAATATATTTTCCTCAAACTACGAAAATTTGACCCGTCGAAAATATATTGTTTTACAGTTTATTCCCTTTCCCATATTCCTGTCACTTAATTTTCTTTTCAATTACTACTTTTGTTGTGTTTATAGTATCTGGTCCATAAGCACACCCTGTACTATATTTATAATTGTTTTATATTCTCTAGTCAAGTGTGATATGAGACTCTTTACCCCGCATGCTGCCAAATGTCGATTTTTTATGTTCTAAGACGTACATTGCAACCTGTATATGTTATATTTTTTATTATGTAATACAATTTTGTGTATATGACGCATATATTTCTTATCTTATATATATTTTGTATTATTTTTCTTGTTATATCTTATGTATTATTTATTAACTACTTAAAAATGCTTCTTCGTATTGACACGTTCCTCTTGAGCTTTAATGTAACTTCACGAAGATATTTATAGTGTGAAATCCTTTTTGATATGATATAATTGTTATATTTGGATTTACATTGCATTATCTATTTTTGTTTTCTTAAACAACAAACTTATGAAGTCTTTTGTACATGTAAGTGTATGATTTGATTTGATCAGAAGATAATCATATTGTGATCAATAAACTTTTTTTTTCAACGCAGATGAGCTACTGATTAAATTTTATTCGATGTGTACGTATAGAGAGAAAAGGCATATGCATACCTTGTATTTCATCCATTTAAGTAATTTTCGTTTCATGTATTAATATGTAAAATGTCTGATAATTATCGTTGTAGAATGTAATGTGGGGTTTTATGGCAAAGATTGTCAGGAAGAGTGTGGTCACTGTGTTATACCTGAGACCTGTCACCACGTCAACGGATTCTGTCCCGGGCAATGTGAACTTGGATATCAGGGAGATAAATGCAATAGAGGTCTGGAAATGCTAGACATTTTTTAAGTTATAAGTGAAAATAATTTCGGGTAGTAGGTTGTAGTTACATGTAAATACGAGACCCCTTTGGCAAATTTTCTTAACCATAGGTTTATTGTACACTCATTATATAACAAACATTGTCGTACAATGTAGCATAGCAACTATTATCTTAAAGATCCGACTTATAACTATGAATATTTGGATATCAATCAATATGCTGACGTATGTTTACAAGGCAGGCATATATATAATCAACAAAGATTTTGAAAATTCTGAAAGACAAATCAGATTATTTAAATAATATGTGACAAAAACGCTTAATGCAAAGTTGAAATATTATATGTACTACGAGCACTGAGCTCACAAAATGAATCCTCCATACGATTAAAAAGTCAGTGTTTTGCAAAGGGAGAATAGAAATTAGTGTAAGATAAAAATGCGGACCTGATATAAGTATTAGATAAAAAAAAAATGAAATAGGAAGTGCAAAACGTAACATTGACACATTGTAATAAAGATTCTGTAAAAACATCCTATAATTTTATTTAGATGTTTAGGTAGGGTTGTGGATAGCAGATGGGTTACCCACAATATTATGTATAGAGAGAGTGTGAATGTCCATGTTTTTTTTTGGGGGGGGGGACCCGAAACTATGTCCCATCGAAAAAAAAATAAAATAGGAGGTGAGCAACTGCACTACGTAAAAAAAAAACTTTCAAAACTTTAGATAAAGATTCTGTGAAAGTCTGAATATAAAAATATTTAGTAAGGGAGATTTGCGGGAAAGAGATGGATATCCTAAAGCGTAGCGGGCGGACGTGCAGACGGATGTACATTCCGATCATGATATACCCCCGTTTCTCTTCCAGCTGTGGTATAAGAATAAAAGCATAACATTGAATTTAATACAATGTATACAGAAATACCATATATATCCTGACGTTGATAATAGGGACGCTTCTGGAAGGATCTTTTTTTTTAATAAATTATGTATACTGTATTCACTAGAATAAAGGAAATAAAATTAAAACCCAAGGTCCCTGTATATAGGAGTATTATTACCAATTTATGATTTAAAGGAAACATGTGTAACTGATAAACATTCTTGCAGAATGTGATGTGAATTTTTATGGCAAAGACTGTCAGGAAGAGTGTGGTCACTGTATAGGTCCTGAGACCTGTCATCACATCAACGGATCCTGTCCCGGACAATGTGAACCTGGATATCAGGGAGATAAATGTGACTTTAGTATGTTTTTTTTATTTTCTTTTATATGCTTGACTCTTGAATTTTATTGTTTAGATTAATTCCTGTAAATGCAATGTAAAGGAAGGAAAATACACATCCAAAGTTTTATATAAATAATAATGAAATAAATTAATCGATTCATGTTCAAAATTCTTGTCACGATAGAAGACTACTTTGTATCTATGCATAGAATGTGACAATGGAACATTTGGACTCCGCTGCAATTTTACCTGTGCTCAAGGCTGTCTGTCTGTCTGCAATAAGATCAACGGAACGTGTGATCAGTGTCAATATGGATTTGTTGGAATATTCTGCAATATAACTGGTATCGTATATCGAACGTGTTATATTATGTTCATAATTCAAATGGGTGCGAAAAATATTATCTAAAATCTTTTGTCTAAAAAGTGTGATTTTTGTTTTATGGCCAATGATATTATATGATTTTTAAAATGTTTTTATGAATGAATTACTACAAAAATGTTGGCTGATTTTTGTATCTACCTGAAATGTTATTTTAACTTTTGATAAGAATGTTACTATATTAAAATAATTGTTTCATTGGTATATATAAAACCGCATTATATAGCCAACACTGAAAAGATAAAAAAAAAACGTGGTTTTTGCAATTAACATAATTAAAAAACCCATTTTTTCAAAACATACTTCTGTGTGTTGATTTGTTTGCTAAATGCCAATTCTAGATATGTCATTCATATTTTTGGACTGCATCGCGTATTTTTGAAAGTTTTCGAAAAGACGGGGACTTTGGACATTATGGTCATTGACACTTAAGACTTCCTTTTCGTTTGAGAAGCTTTAATGGTGACAGGGTTTTTTCTTAGTCTATAGATTATCCTCAGAAAAACCAATACAATAAACAAGAATAGATTGCACAGAATTTACAAAAAAAAAATATATATTATTATTTTTTGTTGAAACTAATGTATTGTTATTATTCAGTTGCAGATGTTCAGAGTGAGGCTTCCACGGCTGCTGCTGCAGGAATAGGCGCTTTCATGTTAATACTAGTCATAATAGTCATTGTCCTAGCGCTTATTTTAGCAAGGTAGGCGAATCATTAAAATACATGTTGTAATAAGTGCATCAATTTTTTTTCTGTAAAATTCAAAACTCTTTGCATTTACTATTCAATTTACAGAAAGTATAACTATTTTCTAGGAAAGCAAGACAGAAAAAGGAAGGTGACATAGCCCTAAAAGAAAGAAAACAAGCGTCTAACACCGGTATGCTATATATTTTAAATTTCGCTAAATTTAGCAATGTACCTCTTCTTGCAGGATGCTTCAAAAGCATTGACTTACTTTCGAAACAGTAACAGCAAAAGTAGCTTCAAAATTTGGAAAAGTGGTAAGCTTAAGGAAGCAGCAAACATTCAGTATAGTTGTGAATTGTTTCCTGCATTATGTGATGGACATGAACTTGGTTACATGTATATAGCATTAAAATTCATTAACGATTGTTTTGAATGAGATAAAAGATATTTCATAAGGCTTATGTTTCAGAAGAAAACAATATTGAAGACAGACTAGATAATACTGAGAACCATGCTCCTGTAGAGGAAAATACTGAGATTGAGTATATTGTCACAGACAACGGTCAGAAGAAAACTCTCATCAGAATAGCTGATCTTGGAAGAATAATCAAAGTATTCTCGATGGAAGAAAATAAGAAATTCACTGAGGAATTTAAGGTACATGAAAACCATTGGAATTTTTGCTTTTTATCATAAACATATATTTCTGGATCTGTCATCAATTTTTTCAAGAAGACAAAACATACATGTACTACGTGCAGTAGAAATTAGGAATTTAATTTCATAAAACAGAGAATTGAAAACGTTTTTTTTAGAATTTGTTTTTTAAGGTCTTGTTTTTTATGTTATTTTACTTTCCTGTGGCATGTAAATTCAACACAGTTTTTCTTTATAAATGACTTTTTTCGCTGAATTTTTTTAATAGCAATTGCCATCAAATTATTTAATTTTGTGTAATTCAGAGACTGTTATGAACATGGATTTCTAACATTTTAGACCTTTTTAAACTTTTAAATAGGCAGATAAGATCTTTTTTTTATTTTAGAAAACAAAAAAAAAACATCATTGTGTATTTGAATCTATAGTTTTCCTTTAAAATTGTATTATAACTTGAGATATACACGCTCTTTTGCAATTTGAACCTTCTTTAAAATTATATAATACACAGATTAAGATGTGATTTAGAGCTCGCGCACAGTCAAATGTTTTCACAATGATTAGTGTTCAAAATGCTTGGCTGTATTTGTGTATTCATTGTAGGGAATACCCTACGGTGAACAGCAACACATTCCTTGTTCCTTGGCTAAACTACAACAAAACATGCCGAAAAACAGATACAAAACGACGTTTCCATGTATGTTTAATATGTATCAAATAATGCTTTTAAACTGTAGTTTGTTAATATTTCTTGAATGTAAGGTAAGTTTTGCAATAAAATAGTTCTATGAGTTTGATCTATATAGTAAGAAAAGTGATTTTGATTTCCCTTTGAAATAAGTTTTTTTTTTTCTTTAGGAATGTTCCTAGCCCGTTTTAGCTCTTCTGAGCCAAAGGCTCAAAGAGCTAATGTTATGGCTATTTGTGTGGTGTGCGTTAACTTTTTAGAATATGGACCATAACTCAAGAACCCCTTGGCCAATCAGTGTCAAATTTGTCACAGGGTATTCTTGGCCCATGGGCTACCATTTGTACTAAAATAAGGGTTGGGTCCCTTAAACAAGGGTAGATAATCAGGAAAACAAAACCTAAAGTACTGGTTGCAAAAAAATCTTCTTCTCCAGAACCACCAGGCAGATTTTCACCAAACTTACATACAAGGATCAGGATATGTTGAAGATTAAAAATTGTACAAGACATGA